GTTATTAACAGTAAAAGCAAACTGTCTGAGAGATTCTTAAAACTATTACGGATGTAGACATAGCGATCGGGCACTTGTTTGTATTGTACATTTTAATGGAGCAGTGTCAATGTTGTTACGCGATTTTCAACCCTGTGTTCTCCACCCCTTATGGTTAAGACACATCGTAACAGCCATGAATAAGACTAGCGTGTCAAGCGTAAATCAAAAATATCAATGTAACTCTTAGAAAGCTGGTGTCTTGATGATGAATGGTTTATAGCTCGTTCATAATCCAATTGTTTACAATCTACAATTTACATTTATATTTGTTTTCTTATTATCTACTTGAAGTCTTCTTTATTGATCACATCTCGGGTAAAGGCCTCCTCTTCCTCCTTTTTCCCCTTGGTCATCTCTATATAGTTGTCTATGAAGTCTATCTTTTATGTGTACTTCTATTATTTATTATTAATAGATAATAGTAAACTCTATTGAGTTGTTAGGACTTTCTGACAGAAGTAATTACCAATGTTCTCATTCCATTCCATTCCCAATTCATCCCATCCTAACATAGCAGGGTTCTTCAAGAAAAGATAGTACCAAAAGCCTCTAATAAGTGAATGCCTATAGGCGGCGGTATCTTAACATAAAAAAAAACATTTTAAAACATACGCAACGCAGAAGAATTATTTATAATAGGGTAAAAGCCGGATAGTTGCCTCGGACGGATACATGGGTGTTTAAAAAACTATGTTAAGATTATAAGTTGTATTGGCGCTTTACTACAATAAGTAGTGACTGCCCATCAGGCCTAAATGCCACGTAAGCCATCGGAATAGGCCCAAGTGTTTTGTCCGTGCGAGCAAAAATCTTCCGCGGCGAAACTTTGACGGGCTTATAATTATATTGGTAAGTTTATTCTATTGAATATTTTTATTACTGATGTGGTTTCAGTCAACTTTTTGTTTCTTTGCATGCATTAGAGTTTAAATTACACTGTTTATCATGTTTTATTGTAAATAATTTTTATTTATTTCGCAAATAAAAAGGGCAAGTATCCGCATCAAAGGGGATAGTGCCCTACTTACTGTGCGGATAGTTGCCCCTAGAGTGACTAAAAATTTCTTAACAAGCAAAGACGATTTTATTTTTTTGCTGCTTTTTTTATGTATATTTGAATTTACTTTGTCTCTAACTTGTTGTAAATTAAATAAATATCTACTTCACAGTTTTATATATTTATTATAGATATGCAAAATGCCTCATCAACATCAACTGGATAGAAGATAGCTTAGCACTTGCCTTCGAAAAATTGAGACAAAGTTGGGATTAAAATACAACTTTATTAATGAGAGTAAAATGGCATAAAATTGGTAAAGAATTAGCTAAGAAAGGTGCTAAAGCAGTTAAATCAGTTACTTCCGGTGAAAAAGGAAAAAAATTTGTTTTTTCTTAATATTTCAAATTGTTCTTAATAAAAGATCTCAGTAAATTATAAAGACTTTAAATAAATAATAAAGATTACTCTAATTGATATAAATTTATTTCTATCCAAAATAAAAAGCACAAGGAATATCCCCGAAGCATTTTTCTAGCTAGGCTACTATCCGCCATAGTAGGCAACTATCCCTTTTCTGAGAGGTGAAATAAAACAGTATTTATTCAAAACCATTGTTAATTATGTATACAAAAATAGGTTTTATAGAAGATAAAAGACCTATGTTGGAGATACATACTAAATAATTTTAGCAATTCATATTTAAAAAATATAAAGCTTTTAGAAAAGGGGGAACATCGGCCCTATAGACACGGAGCTTCGTGTACACTGTACACGTTCATTTTTATTCAGGTTTATGCTCGGCATTGTTGTTAACTTTTACAATACATTTTATATATAAATTTAGAAACTGTGGAACTGTTTCCGAAATAGTGCTGCACAGCGTGGGTAGCAGGACCTTGGCATGAGAGAGGGAAATGTATGAATGAGCTTACCGCATCAGTTACTTAGTTGTAGTCCTGTGATTTATATCAGACTTAGTGATATATATTTCAGCTTGCTAGGAAGAAGCCTGGAAGAATACACAAGGGGATACTTGCCTTTAACGTTCCATGTATGACCAATTTGGACTGTGACTTCAGAGTTCGGACTAGAATTAATATACACGCTACCCACTTAATAACAAAGAAGTTTTTATATTTTTAAGAATCCCGTGTGTTTAAGACATAAAACAAATATTATATACTTATTTCCAACACATAAATATACAGTATTTACAATATTTTAACCTACAAAAATTAAAACTAATTTAAAAAGATCCTTGTGGCAATGTACCTTTAACGCTGGCAGCATTTCCTCGCTGTATTGCGATACTATTCGTTGAGCGAGGAAAGCACCAGCTCTTAGGTCACCGGTACTATCTACCAGGCACCATCTTAATTTTTTAATTACCGCCAGTGCACTTGAACTCCACGGGCTACTCCAAAGGGAACAAAATCAAAGATAAGAATACCGCCTGCTCTGTGGATTTAAATTAAGTGATTATTAGGATTAATTATTTGGTATTGTGTATACTTAATTCCTTAAGTCCAATGCTAACATCTTAATTACATTATCATGTTATTTTTTAATTAATATACATAGCAAAATGATCCGCATTGCGTGCATATTTATAAATGCGGATAAAATTCTTTCGTGGTCTAGTGGTCGAACATGCAATATAATATTAAAAACGTATTAATTTGTGAAATTTTTTGACGCTAACCGTTCCTGTAATCCCCTAATAAAAGCTATCAGTGTAATTGCATCATTTTAACTGAAATACTTTTTGTCTCTTTCTGTCAAATTGTCTTTAGGCTGCGATAAGAAGGGACAAGGCCCTTTAGTACGGTGCAATGAGACGAATTTATTTTTATGATAAATGGGGCAGTGGTAGCAGGCTTATATGATTTTACGTAAATTAGAATAGGGGAGAGGCGGACACAACCGCCGCATCGCATGTCGGGAAGGGGATAAGGCTCTGCTGTTACCGCATCCCGCCTAAGGCGATTGTTGGTGGCCCTTGGGGTTTTAGTGGTATGCACATTCGCGAGTCCCACATAACCCTCCCGCACTACGCAGTCGCACCGCGGTATGCATTTCCCCAATAAAAAAAAAATGGTACCCGGCTTATATGATTTTACGAAAATTAGAATCATTTTGTTTTTTAAATTTTTATTTTAGAGATTTTATCTAATCCAACGACATCATCCTAAGGTGACAGTAATTTATATATTTATTTCAATGTTTATTAATTTGCTTATGAGTATTTCTTAGTTATTTAGTACCTTACTTGTTTTCATGACATGTAATGAACATAAGACATGCTTGAGTAATGTCGTTTCTAAATAGTCTAAAGATGATTACCTCACGACAACGAATTACAACAATGTTACGAGTACCGTTGGAACAACAAAATTTATTTTTAACGATGGAAACATGAATTGCCTATGAGTTTAATAGTATTTACTATTATTATTAATAATCCAGTGGCGCTACAATCCTATCCTATCCTTTTACAGATGCATGCGTTTCTTTGATAATTTTTTACACAACCATTGAACAGCCTGCATGTCGTTGGTTCCTCAAGGCCCCAAGAAAGACAATTCCAGGTGTGATTCGAACGGACGACCCCAGGGTTGAGACGGGCTAAAGCCACTAGGTTTTACTGCTCAACTTACATTATCCCATTTTTTAATAAAATAATAATTGTAAAGTGCTTAATTATATAATATTTTTCTGTTGAAATTAGGCCATGTATGGGCTGTAAATAAAAAAAATAATGAATCAAAAAAGCTCTCTGAGCGCAACAATTGTAACAAAATTGAAAATTATTCAAAAAATATAAAACATTGTGAAGCTTGTCAAAATAAATATAGAGAAAATCCGAAAATACATTTCGTTTAAAAATACTTACACTTTTATGAATCATATTTCTAAAGATGTCAACTGCGCAATTCTTAAAAGGCACATTCGTTTCCCCTCTTCCTATGGACAGGTACTTACAAACATGAATGGCGTGTGTCGGTCACGAAGTCCCCGGAACAAGGAGACTAGGGGACATAGCAAACAAATATAAACTGAATTAAACGGTAGATAATACAGTAGATATGTACAAATTCTAGTTTTGTATTTTTTCACTTTCCATTTGATTTTTTTCTGTTGATTTTCCGTAAGTTTTTTTCCACTTTAATATTATGTTTTGCAATTCATTACTTATTTTGAAACACCTTTATACAGGTTGTAAATTCGCAGATTTGAAACTGTCAAACATAGGAAGACAGTACATATATTTATCAGTTTTTACCCCACGTTTTTCTTCATTTAAATTATTCATCATACACAATAATATCCTTCCCTTACTGGTCCTTACCTTGTCAAATATTTCTATTTGGACCCCATCTCCAGTTAAGGAGCTCTAATTGTCTTTTGATCCAATTTAATAAGCAGTAGTTTCTATATAAATCGGTATCTACTGTTATAACAGTAAGTTCCAGGCACTGGACTTGACCGACAAACCACGAATCCGACAAAGCTCTCTATGGCCACGATTACTCACGCCGTTCAACGTACACAGAATAATAATGACAATTTACAATGACTGCTAGTTATACAAAAATATTGAAAACAGCATCCACAGACATAAGAAAATTGTGACCTACCCTCACGCATAGATGCTATTTAAAATTAGATGAATCTTACTGAACTGTTTAGAAGTGCTTTAATATTACAATAATAATATTTTTTAGATATATTAATAATGAGTGTGGCTTTAAAAAATAAATGGGTCTTTCATGAAAAGAGGGTACCAATTCTTAAACGCCGGCAACGCACTCGCGATTTAATATCAGATGAGCCTGCCCGTTTTCCCTCTATTCTATAAAAAAAATAGTAAAAATCACCGAAGTATTTTTTTTATTAAATTAATAGAATCCACTTTCTAGGTGAGCAAAGAATACTTGTCATCTGTTTATACATCGTACTAATCATTCTGCATTGGAATTCCGATCCTTTGATCTTTACGAAATGCGACAATAGATTGTTGGCCTGCCACTGTTGTCTTCGTATTCTTCTTTTGATGCCTCTCCATCACTGTAGGTTGGCCTACAGTGTGAAGCGTATCTGGTCCTCCAGCTGAAAATGGGCCAAAGTGTTTTTATACGTGGAGAAATGCGTTACACATACCCGCCCGCAACTGCCTTGTGGTGGTGGGTTGTGTGGGACTCACTAAAACCTCACGCCACCAGCATTCTTCCAGCAGGAAACTGTAACAACGTAGCCTTGTACGCATACCGCCACGTGCGAAGCCAATTCAGTTGGCCCAACGGGTACAGCAGGCATAATGCCCAAGAGTCGAAGACACAGTTTTCAGAGACAAGGTTGCATGTAAGAGTACCTATTTTGATTACGTTATAAAGTTTCTAAGTAAACTGTTATGGTATTAATGAATTAAGTAATAAATCTCCAAAAAGGGCTTATAATTTAAAGCCATCAACTTTCTTTTTTACAAGCGTATAATAAACATTATATAGTAAGTAGTTTCACTTGCTAATAAATTATAATCGAACGTGTCAAATCGTAAATTGATTGGAAAATTATTTTTATAATCTATCATTTGTTTAATGTCGTTTAATTCAGTTTCTAAAATTGTCACACTTTTAAATCATCATGTAAACATATTTTAAATATACAATATCCAGGTGAAGTTTGCGTGCTCGGGATACATTTTGTTTCGTTATAATTTTTGTTGGGCCTGGATCTCAAGGTCAAAATCGCTTTATATAGTTTATTTATTTTATAAATATACCGCTATTATTGGACTAGTATTTTAATGGAAAACCAGATTTTTGTAACAACATACTAATAACATACATTTAAAACCAGTGACTCAAGTTTTAAACAGCTGATCGAATAAAGATACGAATTATGCAAAATACGTTTTCTAGTTCACGTCTTCCCACATAATTAAAGTTATGACTCAGAGCTGAGGTCAAGAGCACGCCAACCTACCTGTTTGCGTGTGCCTTACAAAAATACCAACGCATGAGTATTCCTGGCAAGACGCCTAAAGAATGTCAAAAAGTCCTTCGTTCCGTTGGAAATACATAATTTCCCTAATTAAAAAACATTTCTATATCACTTGTTAAAAATGGTAAAAAAAATTGTAATGTCAAGTCGATTACGTTTTAATTATTTACAGTTCATTGCAGTAATTCAGTAATACAATACAATCAAAATAATTAAATAAAAGTGAGTACTACTAGCGGTTTTATCGCTTTCGAGCGATTGCAGGAAATGTAAGAAAAGAAGAATTATATAATGTGAGTGCAAGAAGTACATACATAAGACATACAATTACTTAGACAAAGCTAATGAAACAAAGCAAAGCAATTAAAACATATGTAAACCGTGAAAGGGACAACAATAAAAAAATCACGTGAAAAAGAAAAAGGTTTTATTTAAAAAAAGATATAATGGAATTGCTCCATTGGTTGGCAAACTACCAATAACTCGATTTGATATTACTACGCTTATAAGACCGTGAGAACTGAAAAGAACTGGAACGATATTTGGCCGTAATTCCTCCTGATGTTAAGTGAGATGCGGCCTATAGGAAGGCAGACTGTTCAAGAGCCGCCGCTTGGATAAACCCATGTCATTCTCTAGGGAAGAAGGGGGCCAACAAATTATTATCTAGTCTAGGCCAAAGATAAGAGAGTCTATTTCTAGATTTAAGATATTATGATGAATTTCTCATTATGTTTTGATGCACATAGAAAACAAATTCCTTGTGTTAAATGGGTTCAAGAATTCAACTCTAGGATTGAGAAGCGCGCTAAACACTAGCTTGATACTGTGTAAAAATTATTAATAATGTAAACTATTGTTAGACGTCCAAAAGTGTTTAAGGCTTTGTAGCTAAAATCGATTTTTACCCGCAATACATTGTTGACTGTTAGTAACGGTAACAGCGTTAATTATCTTTAAAACTAAAATAATGTTTTATTAAAGTTTAATTGTTGACACGTGTACAACTTTAATTTATACATAATTAAAATCATGGCATAATACATAGGAACATATACGCAACTTTATGTAACTTCTATTTCTAAATTACATTTAACAGATAGGGCAAACTGTCATATCTGAACTGAGAGTTAAATCTTAAAAATGGGCGTTGTTAAGCGCCTATCCGCATTGTTAAGTGAATAAGTATTTTTTTTAATTACTAGTAAAAATGGCTTAAATATCGTCTTTCCTCCAACTTCATTTTGTTCCGTTTGGAGTAGAGACTCTTGAGCCATGGGGTTCAAGTGCACAGGCGCTAATTAAAGATTTAAGTTGGCGCCTGGTAGATAATACTGTTGACCATAGAGCTGGTGCTTTCCTCGCTCAACGAATAAGTATCGCAATACAGCTGTAAATATAAAAATAAACTAAATTAATTTTTAAGAGGCATGAGGGTATCCCGGGATGGGCTATCCGACATATTGAGACGCCAAGCTCACTAGACCGAAGTTTACGGAAATAAAGTCCCTTTTTAGGAATTTGTCAGGAAGATTTGACACTCCCTGCTGCCTAGCTTCTGGGCCTCAGATCGATAGGTTAAAAAATAATAATAACAATAATTTTTATTCCAAGTTACGAAGGTACTTACTAATAGAAATAGTATGTTATCTATTTAATCAGTAATGGATATAATAAATTCCAAATTCCTCTGAATTAAGCGGCAATTAGTGTGTCCACAAAATTAAATAACGTTCGATTAATTTCGTTCATAAGCGATGTAATTTCTCACGGTATTTCGGCACTCACCCACGCTTCAACTTTCATCTCGGGGCCAAAGCTCCACGTGTGTAGGAACACTGTAACACTGAAGGGCTAGTTTGTAAAGACATCAATGTTCTTACAAAGCAACTAGTCGAGTCCTTGTTGTCGTTGTAGGGTTGTAGGTTGTAGGTTGTGGAAAATTGATTCCAGAGCCTATGAGCACTTAACATCAAATGACCGTTGCATTTTGTCCTGTTCGATAAAATAATAATCAAAGTTCGATTCTAATAATAATCAATTAATTTAATGAGAAGGAAAATTTAAATCGGACTCGCTATTGAAATTAGGCCGATGGCTGGCCATGCATCATACTCGTGAACGGGTGCTACTTGTGGTGACTGGTCGGACTTGAATTCGTGTTGTTCCCACGAGAATGTAAATGCGTGCTCCTATTCACCATGCCTCCTGCTGATAGAGGACAAATCTTTGTTTTTAATTTATTTTATTATTATTAATTACTTAAGACGTCATGTCGAATATGGTGTAATTGTTGCAGCTCCTTACAAACATTGTGTAAAAAAACTTGGCGATTAAAAAGAGTGGCGGAGAGTTTATTGCCAGTTCTTCTCTTCCGTTCTACGCCCTTGATTTATTTATTTTTTGACGTTCATAAGTTTATATTTTGTTACCTATATGAATAAATGATTTTTGAATTTGAATTATGGAGGAATTCACAATTCCTGGTAGAGGTCTGCAATGACGAATCTTTGTTGTACGACAATATAATGATATCGTTTTCTCCCCGAGTGACCAGTGAATACGTGAGAATCTTCAAAAGGATATGTGTGACTGACACAATACATGCAGAAATGTATACCCAAAATAAAATATATGTACCTGTCTAACAGGGATATACCATTTTCTTTTGTATCCGATAACAATTGGCTGTTCAGGTACTACAACGCACTAGACTACACATCCACAAATGTATCTACAATTTGCGCTGGTAATCGAACCCGATACCCTTAGCTCCGGCCGTCGGCCCGTTCTATGCACGTGTATTTACAGTTCAAATGGAGGTGATTGCGAGAATCAGGGGTGAACCTCCGAAACTGGAGCGCCGAAGATTACTTCGCAAGATAATCAAATGTCGAAAGATTACTATGAAACACTGTTACAAATACCACATACATGTGACATTATGAAACACAAATTATGTGACAAAATTGTGAGCTAGATTTTTATTTTATAACTGAATAGTTTCAACAATCTCTTTTCCGTATTTCAAGATAATAGGTTCTTACTGCATCTTTATTAATCACTTAACTATTATTAATACAGAGAGACGGTTCGCTTATGACCACACCTTACGCAGAGTTGGAGGTCCTCCTGGTCTAGCAGCACATTACTCTCACTCATTCACTCACATGCACCCACACAGTCACGTACGCTTTTTGTTAAAATTGGGAAAATATGTTGTAGTTGTAATTGAAAAAACAAACAAAAATTTGTGTTATGGAAGAGCGCGGAACCCCGACAGGTAGTTTTTACTTAAAACGGTATCCAAATCTGACACATTAGAATGCATTGTTTTTAATGAATAAACAAACTCTACACAAGTACAATAAACACGAGTTGATAGAAATTTCTTAACTATTCGATTTAACGTATTGTTTTTTCCAAACGCATCTATACGTCTACACTACTGTGGTGCACACAGTTTTTTTATTTCGTGTTGGTTTTTATATCAAATGGTTTATTGATAAAATTTTGTTACACATGTGAATGTATTGTTTAATTCTCTTTATATTATAATTAACGTTTTTTTATTGTCTATATTATAATATGCATTTACACTCTTTTACACAAGTTTTCTTCACCTCCCATCCCATCTATCTGTCAACGTAAAATTGTAAAAACTTGTAAATTTTACGTTAACATATCCATTCCCAAACATTATCACCAACATTATCACCACATTATCACCAACATTATCACCAACCATGTAAACCTGTATCTTTATTTTACTAATCAGTCTCAGTTTTCTCTTTTTCGTTTTTAGTCTATTGGTAACGATTGTTAAGTTAAAATTTCATTCACCGTTGGATGAGCGGAGTACCCTGATGTAATGCCCCTGACTAATTCTAAGGAGACCTGTGTCTCCCTAGAATTGTTTCAGGGGCTCCAATATCTGCTAAAACAATGTAACTTGTTATTGAGCAAAGAAATTTTATTCTAATATGTTTACAGTTGGTTTAGCAGTAAAAAATAATATGTAATTATACTTAAATTTACTATGTTTTCGGTCTATGAATAAAACGCCGTAAATTCAAAGTAGATATGAAAAAGTTGGTCAAAAAATTTCTATATATTTAATTAATTACCATTTCTCAAGAGTATTTTAGGCACGTGCTATACATTAAAAAACTTTCCCGCTTAAAATACTATTTGTGTATCGATATTTATTGTTGACATAATAATTAATTACATGAATAAATTTAAATAAATTCTCGATCGTAAATTAGTATCAATTAGATAAAATAATCGCATCGTTTAAAATAAAATAAGAT